TAGGTATGTGGGTTAAAATCAGGGTTTTCAGTTCGGTTCCATTGATCTACCTGCCTATTTTTGTGCCAATACCAAGCTGTTTTCAGGACTATAGCTCTATAATAGAGCTTGAAGTCAGGTATGGTGATGCCTCCTGAAGTTCCTTTATTGTATAGGGTTGTTTTGGCTATCCTGGGTCCTTTGTTTTTCCATATAAAGTTGATTATTGTTCTTTCAAGGTCTGTGAAGAATTGTGCCAGAATTTTGATAGGGATTGCATTGAATCTGTAGATTGCTTTTGGCAAGATTGCCTTTTTTATTATGTTGATCCTGCCAATCCAAGAGTATAGGAGATCTTTCCATTTTCTGATATCCTCTTTGATTTCTTTCTTTAGTGACTCAAAGTTCTTGATATACAGGTCTTTCACTTTTTTGGTTAACATTATCCCCAGATATTTGATACTGTTTATGGCTATTGTAAAGGGTGATGTTTCTCTGATTTCTTTCTCAGTCACTGTATCATCTGTATATAATAGGGCCACTTATTTTTTTGAGTTAACCTTGCATCCTGCCACTTTGCTGAGGGTGTTTATCAGCTCTAGGAGTTCCCTTGTGGAGTTTTTCGGGTCACTTATGTAAACTATCATATCATCTGCAAATAGTGAAAGCTTGACTTCTTCTTTTCCTATTTGTATCCCCTTTATCTCCTTTTGTTGTCTTATTGCTGTAGCTATAACTTCAAGTACAATATTGAAGAGATATGGAGAGAGTGGACAGCCTTGTCTTGCTCCTGATTTTAGAGGAATTGCTTTGGGTTTCTCTCCATTTAGTTTGATGTTAGCTGTTGATTTACTGTATATTGCTTTTATTATATTCAGGGATATTATTGTGGGATCCATGACCCCATCACACCCATGGCTGTTCCTCCAAGCTCCCTTCACAGTCTCTCCCTTCTGCACCTCACACAGCATCCAGCATTCTCCCAAGATTAATTTACACTCTCACTTATACATTCTCTGGGGATACTGCAAGGGGACTTCCCTCCTCCTGTCAGTGGGAAAAGCATCCTCAGACCACCTAAGTTGAGGGCACTGACAGGTTGAAAGTTTCCAGAACAATCTTTCTGGTTCTCTGCCAGAGTCTCCAGCCACATAACTACCTGTTCCTGAATGGCTGACCTGCCCTGTGTTCCCAGAGCTTGCAATTGAACCCAGACTACAGCTAGTTTTGAACTGGTGGTTTGTTGTTTTCTGCTAAGGAAAAATCAAGGGTTTATTTTTTGTACCTGAAATTTAATTGATTGCTAATTCAGAGATTATACAAATAGAATAAGGAGACTAATGATGGCAGAAAATTCCTACAACCTGTGTCTTGGGAGAATAAGTTGTATCTAGGCTATTATGTATATTTTATTTGACATAAGATTTTAAATTTAAACACTTAGTATGGATCTATAGAAAGCAGGCAGCTACAGTCCTAAAAAAGACCTTAACTGATATCTAGAAAGTGGAGAAAGCCAACTGAGAAAAGTTGGCTTATTCTATTATGTTCACTTAACTGATTTCAGTAGAGATAACCAGGACTCCTCATATTTTGCTCAAAACATGGTTTTTATATGCAAAATAATAGTATCTTTATACATGCAAATTTACTCAGGTCTAAAAGTCAATATTATCATTACCTTTCTGGTGACTACAGTTCTCTGCCCTGACTGCATATGCTAATCGTGTTGGGAGCTTTTAAAATACCAGTGTCTCTGTCAATGGATTCTGAATTAACAAGTTTGAAATAAAACCCAGAAATCAGAAATTTTTAAAAGCTAAAATGTAACTGGAACATCTACATTAGCCAGAATTCCTTCTTTAGAGAAAGTAGGAGTTGTTTCGTCCTGAAATATCTAAACTGACTTAATCCACTAAATATTTATGCAAGAGCTTTTCATTCTCCTCAGGTGAAAACATCGTTATAAATTTTTACAAAGCAAAATGCTTTGAGCTTATTGTTTATATCAGTGCTTCTGTTAGTAGCTTAGGGAATACAATCTTATAAAAAATATTTGGCAATCCCTATTAAGTAGAACCATTAAAATCCTAGTTTAAAAATTACATTTTTATTTGTCCTTTGAAAAGCTCATATATGCATACAACATAATATCCTCATTTTAATTATCCATTCATTAACTGTTGGACACCAAGGCTGTTCCCATTTCCTGGCCATTGTGAATGAATCAGTAATAAGTATCAAAGATCAATTACTTCTATTAGGATGTGGAGTCCTATGCCTAAGAGTTGTACAGATGGATCATGTGGTAGATCTATTTCAAGCTTTTTGAGGACGCTTTGCATTTATTTCCATAGGGGATGCTTCAAGTTGCACCCCAGCAACAGCGGGTAAGCACTACCTTTTTCCACACCCATGCCAGCCAACCACCATTTATCATCACTGTATTTTACTTTTATTTGCTTGTCTGTTTACTTTTCATCTTAGACCTTCTGATTGGGATAAGATAAAATATCAAAGTGGTTTTCATGTGTATTTCTCTGATAGCTAAAAATGTTGACATTTTAAGTGTTTCTCAGCTTTTTGTATTTTATCTTTGAGAACTTTCTGAGGTGTAGTATATTTACACAACGAAATATCATTGAGCTGTTAGGAAAAACAAAATTATGAAAGTTTCTGGTAAATGTATGGAGCCAGAAATAGTCATTATTGGCAACACAGACTCAGAAAAGCAAGAATTGCTTGGTTTCCTCTCATTTATGGATGGTAGTTTTGAATATTCGGGTATGTGTATTCCACATGGAGACTCCACAGAAGTCGGGAAATTACTAAGAAGCCATGAGAGCTGGATTTCAATAGAAGGGAAGGAGAAGACAGAATTCAGTGATGTGAAGGACTAATTGCACAAATAAGCAGAAAAGGGTAAAATGGGGGAGGGTAAAAGGGTAAAGTAGGGAATACAGGGAGCAATAACTAACGTTAAAGACATTTTGAATACATCAATTGGAAGCCACTACTACAGATGCCTCCAAAATTACATATGTAAAAAGGGTTAAAAGGACGTTACCCCATAATGGGGCAACAATGCCACTACTAGGTACCAGGAGCCAACAAATAAAAGGCCCAAATATGCCAAGGAATGACTTATCTCTTTCGGAGGTGTTGGCTAATAAATTTCCATAGATCCTGCAAACATCACACACTATTGCCCGTTCTCTTGGCACCCATGAGAGTTTGAGGGTAAGATCATATTGCTAATGATGCCACATGCTTGAAACATAGAACATAAAGAAACAAAGCTGATACTTACCTAAAAGCTTCATCTCTAATGGCTACTTTTCACAGTGTTTAAAGGGGCTGTCACACCACTAAAGGAGAAAAGCCATCACCAATCTCACCCAGATGTGAACTGGCCTGAAAGACTGGGGCACCAGGGCAATAGTGGCGTGCATGTGATGAAAGTAACCAGCTTTTTTCTGACTGGATGTGAGGCCTGCTTCACAAGTTGAAACTCATACCTGACACTGTTATTAGGGTCAAGAACCTGTGGCTAGACAGGTCATACACCCAAGGGAGAGAACCTACCACTATGAGTCTGTAAAATGGACACAGCACTAAGTGTATCCCCAATTACATTATTCCCATACAGTAGCGTATCTCTCAGTCTTCATCAGAGAAGCTTCTTTTTGAAGTAGATGGAAATTATTAGTGCTGGTCACAGCTAGCTGGTCAGCATGCAGAGAATAAGAGACTGAGGGTGCTTAGCCCTTCACGGGACATCTGTATCATACTCTCCCCACCCAAGACTTAGGAATCACTGCAGAAGAACAGGCGTAAAGATTCTAAGAACCTAAGGCAGCAGATGACTACAAGGAAAGAATGCTTTCCAGACACAGCAAGGCAGTTGCACCCAAGACCTGGAAGCTTCTGTGATAGCACACAAAAAACCTGCATAAGCTCAAGTCAGACTAAAATCTCATCATGGAGCTATTGGCAATTGGCAGCAGACAGAAGAAGGAGAATCCAATTTTCCTAAGGGTGTGGCCTCTGACAGGCTGATAAAACTTTAGAGGAAAGCCACATATTCAAGAGTATAAGGGCAAAAGGAATTATACTTTATGAGAAAAAAGAGATACATAGTTGTGTGGGTAGGGAATTGGGAGTTGGGTTTGGGGGAAAAGTGAATATAAATAATTGCATTGTATGAAATTTTCAGAGAAATAATAAAAATGAGAAAAAAATAATATCCTAGTTTTATGACAGAAAGTTGAGTCTTACAGAAAAGTGTCCAAGATGATATAGCTGGAAAATGATGGTGTGGAATGAATTCCTATTCTTGAACATGAGGGCTAAAGCACCATTTTATTAAAAGTACATTAGGTGTCATGGTACCATTTTTCTTTAACTAACTATAAGCATCTTCTCTTTAAATGGATTTATTCCTAGGCTTTAGATAACAAGACTTAATCTTCTATTCCTTGAAAAAGTGACACAAGCAACAAGAAGTATTTTTTAATGGCTTCATTCTTCATAGCATTAACAAATCAGGTCTAAATAGGTAAAGCTTAAATTAATAGGGTGAATAGAGAAGAAGCCTGTGTTACTATTGCCCATCATATTCTCTCCTGAGATACTTATGTTGACAATGGAGAAGTTTTACATAAAACATTGTTAGGATGAGTTTTTTCTTTTTCAAATTTAATATACTTGAAATAGTCTAGGCTACCTTTTCCTATAATGTGCCTTTAATTGGGCTCTTCAGTTTGATTCTGCTTGATGTCTGAAATAATATCATATGACCATTAGTAGAGCTAGAAATAAAATATCGCTGGAAAAACTATTGAGAACGAACTGTGGCTTTAATGAGTGCTGAGAAGTCTTATATTCTTGAGTGTGTGACCATTTATTAAGAAATAAATCAGATACCTGTAAATGCCACATACAAGCTTATAACATCTGACTTTATAAACTCGAAAACCACCATTGTGTAAAGTTGTAGATTAAGGAAACATACCCAATACCTTACATATGCCATTAATACAGACATTTCTGCTGCTGCCACCTTCAAAGCAAGGGGTGCCATCGATGACGGCATCCAGCATTTTCTCAGAAAATTGTCCATCTATGGGTCTGCAGTACAGCTCACAAGGATGTGCTGAAGTGAGAAAAAGAGAAATCCCTGTAAGATAACTGTGTAGTTCAGGCTCTTCCCCAGGATTCCAGTGTACAAACCCATCTTTTCCCTTTCTGAGACACATGCTAACATGTAGGCATTTTGTTACTCTTTTTGTCAACAAAGACACTATAATTAATTATATTTGTGAAATTAGTTGAAAATACAATATGCCCTTTATTGTAAATGAGAAGACTTTTCAATCCTACACTGAACTGTGCACCTACACATAAGAAAGTCTGGGACACTTTGTGTTAGCCAAGGAAATCAATAGTCATAACAGTAATGCAGAATCCAGACAAATGTGACACTCTCTGTAGCAAGGCAAGCCAATTTCTGGAGGAAGGCAGTCTCTTCCCATGGCACCAACATTAGTACCACCATCTTAACACCCCCCCCAATGAGTAGTCATATTTCCTCCCAATCCAAGAAGTGCTTAGATACAAATTGACAACTACATAGAAGCAAAGATTATGAGCTTCTGCAAATGGTAACCCAATATAATTATCACAGGAGTCCATCCCTTTACTTTGGGTCCCACTTGGAAGTCATTCTTAGGTTTGGTGTTTTACAGCCTAGGGAATGAAGACTGGAACAAGCCATGAAACACACCCACTCCTATCTGTACACACAAAGCTCAGAAAGAAAAATAAAGCACAGCTGCCTTACATCTTTTAGTGGCTAATGTGTGAAGTAGCGTTTCTCTTTTGAATGTTACACTTTGAGTGTTATATTTTATTGCAGTGCTTTAAATTGAATTTGATTCCTCCCACATCAAGCACTCTACCATGAAGCTATGGTCTAAGTCCACACTTTACTTTAGGTGAGAACTTGAGAATGGGCAGAGCTGGTGGCCTCTTGATTCTGAAATCAGCCTTACCCTGTGTGGATAAACATCAGATGCAAAACTAAGGTGCCCAGAACTGTGTTGGTTTTAGGATGTTATGATCCATGTGACAAAAATAAAAGTGTAAAACTCAAACTAAGTACAGCCAAGAACAAAGAGTCTAAACACTAAACACTAAATACTTTGAACAAGCTGGAGACAGAAGTCAGAAACATTGGTATAAAACTTAAAGGAAAATGATATATAAATAAATAATACCAAATGCCTTCATAGTTGCATGAGAAGATGAACAAAATCATACTATGTTAAAGAGATTACTCTACCAAGGGCCATAGACAGGACCATAAAATGGGGGATAAAACATAAACTGGGATTACTGTAAACTTCCTCTCATGGCAATGAGAGTAACACTACTACTGACCAAATTGGAGTAGAAGCATGTGAGGGCAACCACCTGGGAGTAATTACAATTTTTCTGGGATAAGAACATTCCTTTGTATGTTCAGTCTAGGGGACCACTTTTTTTTCATTTTTTATTTTAATTTTAAATAGCTTGTTTTTCATGTCAATCCCAGTTCCCTCTCCCTCCCCTCCTCCCGCACTCCCTTTCCACCCTCCCTCCCACCCTATTGCCAAATCCTTCCACATAGGGGATATCTAGAGTCTGTCATTTTACTCTTGGTAGGGTCAAGGCACTCCCCTAAGAGTCCAGGCTGAGAGAGCATCTCTCTTTGTGCTATAGGCACATGAAGACAGATTGTATACCAGGGATAGACACTGATCCACAGCTCAGGGCCCCATAGGTTGCCCAGGCCTTCTCACTGACACTCACATTTGGGGGGTCCAGATCAGTCCCATGCTGGCCTCCCCACTGTCGGTCTGGGGTCCAAGAGCACTCCCCTGTTCAGATCAGCTGTCTCTGCTGGTTTTGCCAGCCCATTCTTTGCCAATTTGCTCATCACTCCTCTCTCTCTGTCACTGGGTTCCTTGGGTTCAGTTCAGTGCTTAGTTGTGTGTTTGCCTCTGCTTCCATCAGTCACAGGATGAAGGCTCCCGGATGGTTATAGACATCAAGTTCATTATCAGGAATGGGCATTCGAGGTGGTCCTTCCACTATTGCTTAGCTTGCCAATTGATGTTATACCTTTAGATCACTCGAGGTCACTCTGGTGCCTGATCTGTCTTCGATCCTATGATTCCCTCTTCCCCCTATTTTACCCCCACCCCTTCAACTTCCTGTTCCCCCATGACCAACTCCCTTCCTCTTTACCCCCTCTATTCTTGCCAGGTCCCACTACCCCCCCTCGCTGTGTTCCCCATCCATTCAGAGGATCTTGTCTCCATCCTCTTCTCTTGGGTACTATGCATATATGCATATCTTTTAGGTTCTTTCCTGTTTCCCAGACTCTCTATCTGTGGAAGTGCACACTGGCACTATCCTGATCCATATTTAAAATCCATATATGAGTGAGTACATACCATGTTTGTCTTTTTGCGACTGGGTTACCTCACTCAGGATGGTTTCTTCCAGTGCTATCCATTTCCCTGCGAATTTCAAGATTCCATTGTTTTTTTTTCTGCTGAGTAATACTCCATTGTGTAAATGTACCACATTTTCTCTATCCACTCTTCAGTTGAGGGGCATCTAGGTTGCTTCCAGGTTCTGGCTATTACAAACAATGCTGCTATGAACATAGTGGAGCAGATGCCCTTGTTGTATGAACCTGCCTCATTTGGATAAATGCCTAACAGTGGAATTGCTGGGTCTAGTGGTAGATTAATTCCCATTTTCCTGAGGAATCTCCATACTGATTTCCAAAGAGGCTGTATGAGTCCGCATTCCCACCAGCAGTGGAGGAGTGTTCCTCTCTCTCCACATCCTCTCCAGCATAAATTGTCTTCAGTGTTTTTGATTCTAGCCATTCTGACAGGAGTAAGATGGTATCTCAGAGTTGTTTTGATTTGCATTTCCCTGATGGCTAAGAATGTTGAGCACTTTCTTAAGTGTCTCTTGGCCATTTTAGCCTCCTCTACTGAGAATTCTCTATTTAGCTCTGTACCCCACCTTTCAAGTGGATCCTTTGGTGTTTTGGAGACTTGTTTCTTGAGTTCTTTGTAAATTTTGGAGATTAGCCCTCTGTCAGATGTAGGGTTAGTGAATATCTTTTCCCATTCTGTGGCCTGCCTTTTTGTCTTTTTGATTGTGTCCTTTGCCTTACAGAAGCTTTTTAGTTTCAGAAGGTCCCATTTGTTAATTGTTGATCTCAGTGCCTGTGCCACTGGTGTTATGTTTAGGAAGTGGTCTCCTGTACCAACTCGTTGAAGAGTATCTCCCACTTTCTCTTCTAAAAGTTTCAGTGTGGCTGGATGTATGTTGAGATCTTTGATCCATTTGGACTTAAGTTTTGTACAAGGCGATAAACATGGATCTATCTGCAGTCTTCTGCATACCATTACCCAGTTATGCCAGCACCATTTGTTGAAGATGCTTTCTTTTTCCACTGTACAGTTTTAGCTTCTTTGTCAAAAATCAGGTGTTCATAGGTGTGTGGGTTAAAATTAGGGCTTTCGATTCGGTTCCATTGGTCTACCTGCCTATTTTTGTGCCAATACCAAGCTGTTTTCAGGACTATAGCTCTATAATAGAGCTTGAAGTCAGGTATGGTGATGCCTCCTGAAGTTCCTTTATTGTATAGGGATGTTTTGGCTATCCTGGGCCTTTTGTTTTTCCATATAAAGTTGATTAATGTTCTTTCCAGGTCCTTGAAGAATTGTGATGGAATTTTGATAGGGATTGCATTGAATCTATAGACTGCTTTTGGCAAGATTGCCATTTTTATTATGTTGATCCTACCAATCCAAGAGCATGGGAGATCTTTCCATTTTCTGGTATATTCTTTGATTTCTTTCTTCAAAGACACAAAGTTCTTGATATACAGGTCTTTCACTTCCTTGGTTAACATTATCCCCAGATGACACAACTGGGTTTAACAGACATCTATAGAACATTCCACCCAAATACAAAGGGATATACCTTCTTCTCGGCACCACATGGAACCTTACCTAAAATTGACCACATAATAGGAAACATAGCAAATCTCCACAGATACAAAAAAATTGGAATAACCCCCTGCATCTTATCAGACCACCATGCATTAACATTAGAATTCAACAATAACACAAATCGCAGAAACCCTACAAACTCATGGAGATTGAACAATGCACAATTGCACCATCCCTGGGTAAAGGAACAAATAAAAAAAGAAATTAAAGACTTCCTCGATTTCAATGAGAATGAAGACACAACATACACAAACTTATGGGACACTTTGAAAGCAGTGCTGAGAGGAAAGTTTATAGCACTAAGTGCCCACATGAAAAAACTGGAGAACAGTCATACTAGAGAATTAATAGCACAGCTGAATGTTCTAGAACAAAAAGAAGCAAACTCCCCAGGAGGAGCAGACGCCAGGAAATAATCAAATTGAGGGCTGAAATCAATCAAGTAGAAACCAGGAAAACATTGAGAAGAATCAATGAAACAAAGAGTTGGTTCTTTGAGAAAATCAACAAAATAGACAAACCTCTGTCCAAACTAACCAAAAGACAGAGAGAGAACATGCTAATTAACAAAATCAGGGATGAAAAAGGGGACATAACAACGGACTCTGAGGAAATCAAGAGAATCATCAGGGCATACTTTGAAAATCTGTACTCCACAAAATTTGAAAATTTAAAGGAAATGGACAATTTCCTGGATAGATATCACTTGCCAAAACTAAATCAAGAACAGATAAATAATCTAAGCAGACCTATAACCCCTAATGAAATAGAAGCAGTCATCAAAAGTCTCCCAAACAAAAAAAGCCAGGCCCAGATGGCTTCAGTGCAGAATTCTACCAGAAATTCAAAGAAGAGCTCATTGCAATACTCGTCAAAGTATTCCACACTATAGAAGCAGGAGGCTCACTGCCAAACTCTTTCTACGAGGCTACAATTACCTTGATACCCAAGCCACACAAAGACACAACTAAGAAAGAGAACTATAGACCAATTTCCCTCATGAACATTGATGCAAAAATACTCAATAAAATACTTGCAAACCGGATTCAAGAACACATCAGAAAAATCATCC